TGTAGTTCTAATTATTTTCGTAATATGTGCTATTTCCGCATTCATCTATAAAAAGGAAATAAAAAACTACTGGGATAATCTAAGCATATTGGGAAGTCTAAAGCTATCAGGCGGAACAGGAAAAACTGAAAATGAAGAAAAACTTGGAGAAGAATTTCATAAGAAAATGGAGAAGCAGTATGGAGATAAACAAAACGATGCAGATACAGTTGTAAATAATGAATAAAGTAGTTAAATATCACCAAAAATTTAACCAAACAGATGCATACAAAGCAGACACTAAAGAAACTGGGTCAACAATGAAAATATTTAAAGTGGGTTCAATAAATCATTAAGCGTTCTTTAAATGGTTTAAATTTGATATATCAGCTATGCACAGTATATGATCACTAGAGAGATATTTAACCAAGCTTTCTATTGGTCTTTAAGACAGTTGGCTAACCCTTTATTTCCAGCGAATAAATTCAGCTGAATAGAGTAAATAGCCACTTACACGGCATTGGTTAATATTCCTACAATTCTATAGGGCATTTTTTATATAAATAACGGACTGATTTGCAGCTAATGACTGAGCAAGCACCAAGACGAAAAAAAAGTGTGTGGAGAATTATATTCGAAGTAATCATGTTTATTGTTGTACTATTTTGCATATACGTATTCTATAAAAGTAAATATGATACATATAACCTGTACTCAAGTGCATATGTAAGAACAACACCATCATATACAGCAGCAGAAGCTGAAGCAACCAAAAAACGTGTACTTAATTATCTAAACACTATGTATGGCAATGGAGCAACAGACACATATAATCCACACAAGGATAGACCAACAGCAAGAGATACATCAGCATATACACCAACATATAGTCCAACATATACGCCAGTATATACAGCAACATCAGCATATACACCAACATATGGAGATAGTGATGCACATTCTAGCCAAGAAGAAACTCCAGTGATTGAGAATAGCCGAACAGAAACTCCAGCCACTATGGTGAATGAAGGAGATAGACTTTATTGGTCTTCAGTATTTCCTAGTTGGCCAGCTATTGAGTTTATTCAGAATAATGGAGCAGCGGAAGGTCTACAGGCCCAACCAAACACTCCTCCTCCACCATATTCAACTTTGCCACCGGTAGTACTAGTGCCTGAGAACACTGCAGATACTACAGACTCTCCTCCTCCATATAATTTAGACGATCTGGCTATTACTGGCTCGAATCATGAAGATGAAGCAGAGGATGAGGATAGGAAGAAAGAAATAGAAAAAGAGAATGAGGAGGAAAAAGTAGAAAAAAAAGGAGTGAAAGAAGAAAAACTTATCGACATTAGCACATGTGAAAAAGAAAAGCTCGTTGATGTTAGCACCTATGAGAAAGAGCAAGAGGAAAGGGATACGATTGATCTCACAACCTACGAGATAAAGAAAGGAAAACAGCAGAAAAAAGGAGATATGATTGATCTTACCACTTACGAGATACTTCAGAAGAACAAGCAAGATGAAGTGATAGAAGCAGAAAAAGAAGAAGAAGAGAAAATAAAGCAAGAGAGAAAGCAAGATAAAGTAGATCTGATTGATTTTACAAGCTGCGAGATAGGTCAGGAGAACAAGCAAGATAGAGTAGTTGAGGAAGCCACACAAAGTAAAGAATCAGAGCAAGAAAAAGTAAAAGAGAAAATAGCAGAAGAAGACACACAAGAGGAAGTAGATCTGATTGACCTCAACAGTTATGGTACAAAGAAAGAAGTCACAAAAAATAAAGAATCAGAGCAAGAAGAAGTAAAAGAGAAAATAGAAGAATCAGCAGAAGAAGTAGATCTGATTGATCTTAAAAGCTATGGTGCAAAGCACGAAGACACACAAAATAAAGAAGCAGAGCAAGAAAAAGTAAAAGTAGCAGAAGGAGCAGAAGAAGTAGATCTGATTGATCTTAAAAGCTATGGTGCAAAGCACGAAGATACACAAGAGGAAGTAAACCTGATTGATCTCAACAGTTATGGTACAAAACAAGAAGTCACACAAGAGGAAGTAAAAGAAGAAGGAGAAAAAGAAGACACACATAAAGAAGCAGAAGAAGAAATAAATCTCATTGATCTTGAAAGCTACAATACAAAGCACGAAGACACACAAAAAGAAGTAGCAGAGACTTTTAGAGCACCTGATCAAATAGAAAATGACAGAACAAGCAAAAGTCCTTCAACAGATAGTATTACCTCTTCTTTCGTTGTTTTAGATAGTTCCCAGAAATCAATGACTGATAGCCAACTTGATGATGGCTTACATAACGGAACACAAACACAAACAGATGGAAATACTGGGCAATCAGGATTATTTGAGCAAGTTTTTAGAACATATCCTGTTGATAGCAACAATCATTTAACAAACAGTGTTAACTCTTCTTTCGTTGTTTTAGATAATTCCCGGAAATCAATGATTGATAGCCAACTTGATAATGGCTTACATAACGGAACACAAACACAAACACAAACAGATGAAAATGAAAATAGTAGCCAAGCAAAATCATTTGAGAAGATAGCCGATGATGTAGCTACTGCTGAAAATGCTGCTGTGCACCCTGCATCAGTAACAGAAAAGGATTGGATCTTGTATTGATAAATATCAGTGAAAATTTAAATAAATTTTTATCCTTTTGAATATTACCAGTGTAAGGGAAGATAGTTCCTTGGGATTAGATCTTAAGTTCTTTATTGATGTGTTATTTATATGGTAAACGACTTGTTGCGGGGGTGGTATGTACGGCCTGCTCTTTCTAGGGCCAAAATCTTACTTTCTGGCAGCTCGCCTTCCATTGTTATTGCATACAGCCCGGGGACATATCCGTCCATGTGCTGCCATTTGCCAACCCAGGAGGCTTTTCCGTTGTACATCCCTATAACGCCAAAGTATCTGTCTGTTGTGCAGTCTAAAATATTGTCTGTACTGTCTTTTAAGTTCAGAACAGAGCAGTTGGGGCATCCCTCGTCCTTGAACTGGTTCTGGGCCATGATAAGAGAGCAGCCGAGACATGCTCTGAGTCTTTTGGTAATTGACGGAGGCAGACTCATAAATAATGGCACAAAGAAAAATAATAAAAATATATGCGAACTGTGGGAGAATGAAAAAGTCTAGCTGTACTTCTGTTTTATTTTAAATTATATTCAAGTAGCCGTTAGAAAGTCATATGAATAAGTGGTAAGGAGTAAGTCAGCAGAGAAACAGTCTGATCATGTGAATAAAATGGATGTAGATCATTGCAGTTCGCTATATTTCAGTAGACTCTGCTGCTGTATCTTAGAATATCTGCGAGCAATTTAAACGTTTTGACTTTTGCTGGCAGAGCAACGAGAACGCTTTCTTTGACCTGCTACAATAGATTGTCTACAGTGCCATTGGCTAGCTGCTGAGTGTAGTAAGTGTGGCTAGCTGTAGATATTAATGAATTAGTTAATTAATACTGCTAGACATTTATTTTTATATCAAAAAAATTTAAATTACTTGCAAAAAGAATGATGGATATGGATGAAGCTTTGAGTATTCCACAGAGAATCACAGATATAGTAGAGATAGAGTTTGACGTAGATGCGATAGTTAGGAACGTTCAAGAAGTACTGGCAAAAAAAGACAGCTCTGCTGATTATGTGCAGCAAATGAAAAGACTAGATCATATTTTTAATAGCGCTATAAAAGTTCAATCGGAAATAGGCATGGGTGTGAGTATAAATATGATGAAGTCTTTCATAAAACATTCTCTGTTCTATTTGATCACAGGCCAAAATAACGAAAAGGTCCAAAAGATAGCAGATAAGCTGTTGTATAGCCGTAAAGGCGACGAAATTGATGAAAACGAGATCAGAGAGCAATTCACTGACCCACAGTCATCTGATAATGAGCCAACGCTCAAGTCTATCCTATCAAAGGAAATAAATGATCTGTGCAAAACAATACAAAAGAAAGGGGGCAATGTCAAGGACTATCTGCTCTTTAGAATACGGCTGCTAGATCAGCATTTGCACTTCTCCAAAGCCTTTTCTAAGGACTGGCTGAGCATTGACGATATAGTGAAAAAATACGACGCAGAAAACATTCTGAACGCTGAAAAGATATACACCTTAAAAGAAATGCAGACTTTGACACAGAATAGCATCCACAACTTCTTGGAGTATGGGCTTGCCTATGTCTACAGGCATGATGACATAGAAAAGATAGATGATGCCATAAAAGTGCACACAGAGACAGCAAATGAAATACAGGTGCTAATAGATGTCTACAACTTCCCCTCTGACATCCTAAACTTGCTCAAGTCGATCATAAAGAGCAAAGATGTGATACAGCAGGAGATACTTATATTAGAGAAATACATGATTCTTGTGGGTATGTTCTTTTCCGAGATAAAGGATCTGGTGGAGAATAAGCATAAACTAACCAATGTGACGCTGCTCAATATGGCTATAGCCATGCCAAACAAATATGTGTACACCGCGCACATTATATTCTTAAGCCAGGAAATAGCATCGGTTTCTGATAAAATAGAGAAGAGGAGAAGCGAAATAAAAAGCTCAAATGCTGAAAACGAAAAAGACGTAGAAGCTGTGGACACTGAAGAAGACGAACAGGTTAAAACACTGCAGAGAGAAAAAACCGAGCTCGAAAATGACCTTAAGAGGATAGAGAAGTACAACAGAATGATGCTCGATCTTATAAAAGACATAGAGAATGCAAACCCTTTATTCTCTGACGACCAGAAAATCTATCTGCTGAAAAACATGAAAGAGTACGAAAAATCACTTCGTTTTTCAACCAACATCCAAGTAGCAGCAGAAGAAATCTTTAATAGGAAGAAGGAAGAGGAGGCTCCTCCTGCCCCCAAAGAAATGAGCAAGAAAAACAAGCTCATTCTTCTTATATTTGGATACATCGTTCTCTGGATAGTTGCATATGCAATCATTAGCAACCCAAAGATACTGCAGGATTTAGTGGACTTATTTACAAAGCCAATCCAGATGGTCTCAAGAGCAGTTAACACCTATATTCTTAAGAACTAAGTTGTTTGGTCTAAAGACTCAATAAAGTCGATAAATTTTATTTAAGTTTTCATTAGTGTTTCAAATGTATACAACAATTTCTCTCTAGCTTAATATCCTCTGCTTCTGAACTGCATTTATCACGTTTACTACAGCACACACCGTTACAAATATAGAAATGACTGAAACAGCAACGCATTTGTTCTTGTTCTGGCTGATGCGGTCTTTCAATGCCAAATACTGTGTAGATAACCTATCTGTTATATTTTCATTTTTGTCTTTCTTTGTCGTTCTATCAGCATCCTCTTCGTCTTCAGACATTTCTATGATAAATCTGTCTTTAGAGCTTCTCGCCGTCTGTTTTCTATTTATATTCCTGTACTTTCTTATCTTGTTTATAAAATCTTCTATTTCATCCATTGAACTGTACTGTATTTTGGGTATAGCCATCATTAAGCTGTTTAATAGATCCAAATTATTTCTCTTAAGCTGTTCATTTGTCTCTAGTTGTGGTTCTGTATTCTCCTTTATTCTACCACTATCTGCTGCTCTTATTTCTTGCTCTGCTCTTACTCTTCTTCTTCTGATCTTTTTGCTTGGTATCTCATCTTCCTCTGTCTCTTCATTCTCTAGATTAGCAACAGCTGTATCTTTTTTATTTTCATGCGGCAATCTACCTCTTCTGTCTTCTCCCTTCTTTTCTATCTCTTTTTTTCTTGCTGCTTCTTCTTCTGTTTCTGTTTCTGTTTCCAGTTTTATCTTTATCTCATTCAGTATTCTTTTCAATTTTTTTCTGTCTCCACTCCGAATACTCTTCATTAGCCTAATGAACAGACAGATCATCTCATCTGCCAGAGCACTTTTCAGAGGATCCGTTCTCATCAGATCAATGCAGTCAAACACTCCATTCCAAACATCATTCATCTCTTTTATCTTCAAGGCAGAGTTGCGCAGGAGGAAAAGAGTCTCCTGCTGCTCGCTCGAAAAAAGTTTCTTTGTCTTCTTGTCCTTGTGTGTACATTTGCCTTCAAAAATCCTGAATACTTCACTTTTTAGGCCGAACAGATCCCCCACTGCCTCGTCCAGGCCCTTCATACTTCTGCCGTCATCGCATGGCTCTTTCATATCTGAAATATCTGCATAAGTGGATCTGCCATCTAGCACTGAGCATATGTCCTCAATGTAGTAGCACAGCGCGCTGTCACACAGAGAGAACATGGCGTACTGCACTCTTTTCTTATAGTGCTCAGCAACCTCCTTAAAGTACTGCTATCTTTCGCTGCATTCCAGCTCCACGGCGTTACTAAGATAGAACGAAACATCTCTGGAGCAGTCGTAGCTGAGAACAGACTGCGTCTGCGCCTCGAAGGAAGACACGTCTCTGTGTGCTATTGCATGCAGCACAGCTCTGCTCGCTGCTATGTACAGAAGACTCTTTCTACCATCTGGTGATATGCTGCTGTCTGCCATCTTTATAGCTTCAACTACTGCATCGTGCAACAAGAGCATTGTGTCTATGTTAGGGTGCTGCTCTTTCTGTCTTTCCATGCTTTTATTCAGAGTGTTCAGGTCTATCTCCACGTAGATCATTTTTTCCTCCATGTAATAATGTAAAAATAATTCCAAATAGAAACACCACTGATTCTGATCCTGGCCGGCTGAAAAACATCACACTCGTAGTAGAGAACAGTGCATGAATAGTGCTCAATTGGTAAAATAGATTTATTATCTCGTTATATAAAGAAAGCCACTATGAGGAGCACTCCTCCTACTCCCATCACCCTCACCATTAAGCTGCCTGCGCTAGTCTTTGTAACTGCCTCATTAGGCTCTGCTGCTTTGCTAATGGAGGCAATAGGTATCTGTAGTACATCTCCCTCCACCTTCTCTGTTCCCTTCTTCACGTCAGTAATCCGCTTCTCCTTCACGTCAGCTGCCTGCTTCACATTCACCTGCACAGACTTGCTCTCCTTCTCCTTCTTTTCAAGCGCATCTGAGACATTTGCGGCAATAGAAGCAGCAAGAGTCTCTGCAGAGGCCGAAGAGTCTTCCGATGCTTCCTTCGAGAATTCGTGCTCAGATTCCAGCATGCAGAGCAGCTCATTGTTCCCAGGGGTTCTGTTTCTTCCACTCCATCTCCTCTTGCTTCTTCTGCTTCCTTCCTTATTGATGGATCTGAAGCCAGTCGCTGCATCGTAGTCACTATACCGATATCCGTACAGCTCCATCAGTGAGATAATAGACTTCACATTGTCTACACTGTGCCCGTACTTGTCCCTCAGCACTATTACTACACTGTCAGTGGACGCATCGTACTGCGTCTTCAGTGCTTCTTCCAGTGGCTCCAGTATGTTTGGACTCGCATAGTCCATCGTATCGTATGTTGGCTCACATACTACCACACCCCTGCTCATGCAGTGTCGGATGTCATCTGAATAGTATCCTTCTCTAGGCAGTCTCGCCGTGTGCGGCATCCATCCTATTAGGCTTTCATAGCGATCAACGTACTTATCAATAATACTATGAGACATTTCAGCCGTCATTTCTGTAAGTGTTGAGTCGCTGCGTATGGAGAGGCCTATCAGATGGCCATCTTTCAGTATCTGCGTAAGAGTGGGCACTGCTTCTCGGGTTATCTTGAACGGGTCTAGATAGAACCCGCACTTTCTGTTGTATTTCTTGAGTATCCTCAGCAGTCTGGGCGTATTGGCTGCAGGGCCTTCGTCAAAAGTAAGACAGAACATACCAGGCTTACGCACGCCCTTACTAACCAGCCTGCTCTTTTCGACTGTCTCCCTCACTCTCACTGCCTCACTCAGCACTTCTCCCAGAGCATCAGGATCAGAGTCCATCAGAGCTTCATTTACCGCATTATTCAGCTTAGTAGTATTGCTCTCCTCCTGGGCCATAAGAATGCCCTCGTTAAAGCACGGATACTCTCCATTTGCAAAGGGCTGCTGGTACAGCGCACTAGTGTCCACATTTACTACAGGTACACTTGCGTATCCGGGTAGAGGGTCGCATGTTTCGAATGAGTCTAGAAGATGATTGCTGTTCCTTCCTATAGTAAACTCATTATTAGCTCGGTTTCTGCTGGTGAAGTCAAAGTTATAAACGGCATCATTAGAGAAGACATCAGTGGGGTCTACTATCCCAGGCAGAGAAGAGAGCCTGCTCGTGTGTCCCACGCCTCCTGCCTCAGCAATTAGACGAGACTGCTGCTCAAGGGCGACTGGATCCTCAACTGCACTGAAATAGCTGGCATGTGCTAGCCTAAATATCTGTATTAGAACACTTGACAAATAACGCATGAGAAGTAAAACAAAAGGGCTTATATAGGTATAGCCCTTCCTTATTGGGTAATGTCACACGGACTGCCCAGTATAGACATTACCGCATTCGGAGTATATTATACATTGAAAAAGGAAAAACAGAATCACTAAAAGCATATATACAAGTGAAAAATAAAAATAAAAAGTCTGCAGCTGGAGAGGAGCAATAATAAATGGGCGGAATTCTATTCATACTTTATACACAAGGGTAAATACATAGTTAGAAGAGCACACTTAATAGTTCTTATATCATCATACCATTGCTTTACAGGTATACTCTTCAAGGATTTCTGTGATTGCACACTAACAGTGCATCTACTTATGCATTAGTATGGTATCTTCGTGCAGGTAAGTATTTGTGCAATAGAAAGTTCTCAAATAAGTTCAAGTTTGTTAATGGGTATTTATTGTTCTTTCTCCTTCCTGATGTACCATAAAGTCCGCTCCTTTATTTATGCATCCGAAGTGATATGGATTTAGTACCATCGCATATTACTTTGCTTATTTTATCTTATTATTTAATATCGTCTTGTTTAATGTGTTTTAGTTGTGTTTGTACTATCTCAAAGTGCTGTGGTTTTCATGCTTGGAGTTTGTATGTGGTATAGCTAGTGTATCATAATAAAAATAAAACAGTTCATATGTACTGTGCGTTTATTGCATTCTCTGTGAAGGTATCTTGCTAAGCTGTCTTTTGCACAAATATACTCCTACTGCATACTTATCTAAGCGCTAACAAACTGCATCAACTTCTACTCTACATTGCTACATTAAGTATTAGTATGCTAGCCTATCCCGTCTTATCTGTCAGCTTTCTTATTTCTTCTTCAATCTCTTCTTTCTCCTGCATTAGCTGCTGTATGTTCTCTTGGAATCGCTTCTTCAATATTGGGTTGGATATTTTGTTGATCTGTTCTTTCTTTTCCTCTATCTTTGCCAGTATCTCTTTCAGATGGCTCTCTTTTTCTTTCAGCTCCTCTGGCGCTGCTTCCTGGTACTCTATGCTGTTCTGTGTGTTCTTCTCGCTTTCCAGGAGGTTCAGCTCTATCTCTGCTGCCAGTGACGACACGTCTTCCTCTGACTCGCTTCCGCTCTTGTTTATCAGCTGCACATCTATCCGTATGGCTTCCTTGTCTTTCTGCAGAAGACTGCTCACTGCCTTCTCTATTTCCTCGATTATTGGGGCTTTTGTCAGCCTCTTTCTGAACCGCCTTGTCTTTACGTACTTCATCGGAGGCGTTATGCCCGAAAGCGATGCTTCTTCTGCTGTCTCCTGTGCCTTTGAGGCATCGTCTGAGAACACGAATATCTTTGATATGTCTGCTATTTTGATGAACTGCCGGTTGTCAAGCGTCTTATGCGACTCTATTATGCACGGCAGGTCTGCTATGTATCCCGTGTACGTTTTGTTCTCGTAGGTAAGTATTCCTTCTTTTGCTGATATCATTTTTATCGATAGTTTGTTAATCACCCCGTTCTTTACATCGTTGTTCACTTTCTCTCGAATGCTTTCTGGCGTTCGTATGATGAACTGGTCCTCCATAAATAATTTACAAAAAGCAATCCGAATAAAAAAGTAGACATTGGCAGACACTAAACTGCAAAAATGGGCTGACAATCCAATGCACAAAAGCGCTATGAATAGGAGTACACACCGTAGTGTGAAGAGATGGCAGCAGTGCAGACTGAAAAGAGACACTCACTCTTCCTCCCACTCTTCTCCTATCCACGTGAACCCTGGCACTGTTGTTCTGTAGCTCTCATCGTCTATGCTGTCGTCTACTTCTGTTTCTTTTTCTTTCTTTTCTATTTCTACCTCCACTTTGTACTCTTTGTTCTGTATTTTACTCCAATCCACCTCTGCTATCCATCTGTGTCTGAGTATTTCATCGTACTTTATTCTTTTGCTTGGTTTTTTGTCTGTTAGCTTGTTTATCAGGTCTATTACGTCTCTGTTCATTCCTGTGCTGGGGTACTCTATCTCTTCATACAATATTCTATCTTTCAAGTCTTCTTCTTTTTCTTCTTCTTTCTCCTCTCCTATTACCCGATACGGAGTGTGCCCAACTATCATCTCATACAGCAGTATGCCCAGGGCATAGTAGTCATATGTTGCATCGTATCTGTCGTTTCGAATTATCTCGGGCGGCATGTACTCCAGTGTTCCGCAGTACGTATTTCTGTCCTCTGACTCGATTGAAATGTCTAGGTCACAGAGAAGAATGTGGTTGTTGTAGTCGATCAGAATGTTCTCAGGCTTTATGTCTCTGTAGATGATGTTGTTGGAGTGGAGATGGTTTATGATCAGCAGCAGCTCGCAGAAATATATCCGGGCCACATACTCAGAGAGCGGGCTTTCCAGAAGAACAGTGAACAGATCGTATTTGTAGTACGGGAATATAAGGAAGAGCTCTGAGGGAGACTGGAACGAGACCAGAAGAGGTATGAGAAAAGGCGATTTTTTCAGTTTTACCAGAAGATTCTTCTCGTTGATGGGCTTGCTTTTCTGTTTTGTCTTTTTAAACACTTTGCAGGCGTAGAGCCTGTTCGACCGGTTGTACCTCACTAAGTACACCTTTGATGTTCCCTTTCCTATCAGCTTTATGCGCGTGAAGTCGTCTGGGTGTATTTTTATTTTGTTTTTTGTGGTTTTTATTTCTACTGTGGCTCTGTCCACCTCTATCGTTTTGTTTCCTATTTCGTACGGGACTGAGTTTATTTGGATTGTGTCTGTGCTGCTGAATATGTCATATGTTGTTTTTGTCGTCTTTATGTCCAGCACGGTTTCTATGGTGTTGTACTCGATGCTTACAGAGTTGTTGCGAGGGATCTTTAGCAAAGAGACTTCGATCAGGCCAATTGATGCAGGGTCTTGTTTCCCGGGCAGTTTCAAGTACTTCGTAAGCGAAGAGAGCAGTGCCATCTGAAAAATAAAAATACAAATTATTATTAATAGGAAATGAGCCGCAGACATTGCACAGTTTTGCACACACTTGCAGACATCTTCTGTTTTTACTGGCTAAATACGGTGGCAGCAGAGGGTTTTTGCAATCTCTGCTGTCTCTTCTTTTCTGTTTTACTCCTCATCTGAAAAGTGTTGAGAGTGTGCATAGCCTATCTGCACTCCAAATGGCACAATCTTGTTTTTCTTCTTGAGTAAAAACTGCTGGATTTTGTTTTGTCTTATGCTCTGTCAGAGACCAGAGGATGGCAAGGCTCTTTCTAGCCAGGGTTGCTCTATGCTTGATTATTCCATAAAATTTATTTATGAATTTTAAAGTCTAAGTAATTTGCAAATGTAAACGTACACTATTTATTATTTCTCAGGACCTGCGGCATCACTTACTGAACAAAAATAAACAATCAGAGAACTTTCAGGCTCTCTCTTTTAATTAATCGTGTATATAGGACAAAGTTTGTTTATGCTTCCCATGGAGAGAGAAAATACTTGCAGAGCAGACTCTACCGCACACACCAGAGAATATTCGCTAAACACAGAAAAGAATGAAATTTCAGGTTCCAGCGGCTCTGCGACAAGCAGCAGTGCCAACACTCAGACAAACTCTAGCTACGAAGAGCAGCACAGCCCAATGAAAAACTGCATGCGCACAACGCGTCTTAATTCGTACAAGTCCATCATTGAAGACACAGATGACGATGGATACAGAGGATTTGGAGCATACGCCGATCCCATCGAGCTGCTCCAGCGCCCAACAGTTGACTACAGCGACGGAAACCCGCAGGAAAAACACGATCGGTCTCGGATGATCGGTTTGACTTTTAAAAAGGCTCTGAGCTCAGTTCATGTGTGTGACTCGATGCAGAATGGATCTAGCTGCAGCCAGGGCACAGTATATCCAGACACCAGTCCTCTTTATTTTGTCTATGATGGTAAAAACCAGGCAGAAGAGCACGATGAAAAAAGAAAAAGCTGCATAGATGGAAAAAACAGAATCGCATCCAAAAAGATGCAGAAAGCGCTAAAATCTTTCCTTGTAGATGATCTTGTATATATCCTAGCGACTGTCTCCACTGCCTTTGTATTCTTCATCCTATTTACTGTTTGCTGTCACAAATCACAAGTATCTGTAAACGAGTAGATCTACTGTTTATTTGCAATAATAAAAATCCATCTAGTAAGATAGCGGTCTCTCTATTTCAATCTTTGTCCTGTCTTCCACTGCAGAGCGCGCTGCTGCACTCGTTTATCCTCTTTATTTGGCTGGGTTAGCTCTGCAAAATTTGTTGCAGCTTGGCATTTTGCTTTTCTGTGTGCGCTAAGACCGACTATTTTAATATTTTCTGAAATATTTTTTTACAATGGATTGTAATATTCTAAACCTCGGCCGAATAATCGGCTCATTAAAAAAGCAAGTAAACCAGCAAGACCAAGATATGCTGCTGCCCTATCTGGAAACCGAGCAAAGAACAAATATGGTTTTCCAAATGATAAAAGAAGAAGACTCTCTGGGAAGATTCTACTGTCTAATTCTCCTGGAGAAAAGCCTCAACAGGCCCAGAACAGAAGACGAGCTGGTGTGTTTTTTGGATAACATCCAGTATCTGATCAGCTCGATCCACTTTTCAAGCAGCTTGGAGATATCAAAGATATCGTCGCTATACTCGAAAGCTGCTCTGTTTTACTGGCCCATCCGAATGCCGGCGTTCATCAGCACAATAAACTCTCTCATCGTCACGAGGAGCAACCTCTGTCTGCCTGTGCTGAAGAACTTTATGCAGCTCATCAGCGACTCTCTGGACATAACGGAGGAAAGAAGGTACGAGCTGAAAAAGTCAGTTGGAAAAATAGAAAACGACATTCTTGTAGCCCTGTACCAGCACGGAGACAGGGTTGAGCTTCTCGAAGTTCTTCTGCTGATGAACAGGATAGAAATACTGAACGAAAACATCGTAGTTTCTTTTTTCAAGAACGTAGACACAAGCGATGTTAAAACAGTGAATGCCCTTTCCACGTTCATCAACAACCTGAACATAAGCGGAAACAGCAACGTGTTCTACACTATTCTGCTGTACCTGTACTCAGCCAGCAGCATAGACAGCATCTCGTTCATCAGCAACAACATAAACATCGTTGACAACACAAGCAAGGAAATAGTCGGCCTGGTCTACAAAATAATAACGAATGCGATTGTGCACATGGACAAGCTAGACACCCTGGACATAGACACTCTTCTAAAGGTCTACCTCAAGCTAGCTAAAAACTACTCCAAGTACTTTGGCAAGGACGTGTCCGCACTGGTTCCCATTTCATACGATGTTTTTTTCATGAGCATAATCAGTACTGTTAGCAGAATAGACAGCGCAGAGGAAGAGTTTAAGAGCATACAGGACAGCGCCATAGGCATACTATCTACAGTGTCTGCAGTGATGGTTGATGACAACACAGACATGTTCAGAAAATACTACACCTCAATTCCCCTCCTACTGAGCGAAGCGATCATTAAAAACATGCGGTATCCCGTTTACACCGGGAATCCCTACCTGGACTTAAAACAAAGCGTGCTTTTTAAAGACTTTGCAGAGATAGGAAGAAACATAGGAAAGCTCGAGCTGAAAACAAGCAAAGAGTGCGCAACTGTCAGAGAAAGCGTAGAGCTTCTGGTGGAGCAGGGAGTGATCAGAGAAGAAGAAGGCGTTGACCTGTACAAGAGATGTCTCGCTGTGAACAACTACTACGCCATCGAGCTCGCTGTGTCGATTGGAGTCATTCTGAACAGAGACGATCTGGTGCTGGGGGCAGTGCAGGACTTCAAAGGAAAGGGCGTGGTTGCCTTTATAAGCATCATAGAGAAGTGCAACAGGCTCGTGTTCAAGCTTTTCCCGCAGTTCAAGAGCCACATACTGAACAAAAACGACGAAATGATCAACGAAATAGATGCAGTGTGCAGGCTGCTGGATATGGAGACAGACAGAGTAAAGGAAGGGAACAACAAGTACAAAGTAGATGCCCTGGAGGTTGTTGGAAGAGAGATACTTGAGAAGATTTTCATGCGGATAGAGTGCGGCGTGCTGATGGAAATAAGAAAGATGACAAAGCTTTTCCCGTATTTGAAAGAGAGAATACACGAAGTGTTCTTGCAGAAGGTGTGGCTGCGCATGAAAAGCGAGCTGGAGAGACAGCGGACAACCGACGACTTTGGAGGCAGTGCGGCAATACAGAACATCATCGGAAGTGTGGCCGGCGAGTGTAGAACAGCAGAAGAGGCGCAGATACTCTATGAAATAGTTGAAAGCGAAGAGTACAGTTCTCGGGGCGTGCTTTTGGGCGTGAAAGGAGTCTTGGAGGGAAGCAGAGAAAGCGAGTACTACGTGCAGGTGCTGAGTGCAATGATAAGTGTGCTAGTGAGCGTGTATGTAAGCCACTCTGATGAAAACACAAGAGCATCGATTGTGGGAATAATAATAGAAAAAGAAGAAAGAGTGCGGGCAATGGAGGGCGTGTACCAGATCGATCTAAGCGAAGTGTACGGCGCAAAAGAGAAAAGAGCCGTGATGAAGAAAGTGCTGAGGCGGATAGAGGGCATGAACGAAAAACAAGGAGCACTTCTGAAGAAGCCCAAGAAAAAAGAGGGCGAAGAAGATAGATGGAACGAAATAACAACGCCTTTTATGTAAGAGCAAAAAGAGAAAGTGAACAATCTTTATTGCCATAGAGCAAAAGTATACGAGTTTATTAGTTGATATTTTTGCAGATGGGATATTCTACTCAATTTACCACTTTGTTGACTGGCGAGTGCGCAACTGTGCACTATCACTGCTGTGTGCTGTTCTTCTGGAGGCCTTCTGCCCAATAAATGGCTAAACTGAAGCCCAAAAGCAGTTGGAAGAATAAATAAAATATTTTCATTTTGCACATTTTTAATGGAAGCCATACAAGAGACTCTGAGAATAGAGCCAATATTCAACACACTCGGGGCGTGTCTTATAAACAGCAGAGTGTACACGGGGTACAACAGCACTCTTTTTGGAACAAACATCCACACAAGCAAGATAGAAGTGTCAAAAGAGGTGGAGAGTGAAATAGTTAAAATATTTGCAGTATACGATAGAGTGCTAGTGTCAACTGTCACAGGGCATGTGTATCTATACAGCACGGAAGAGAACACTCTGGAGAGCATAATGAAAAATACGATCGTAAAAACAGCTGACGTAAACGGAAACATTCTTGTGATTGGTGATGCAGAGGGATCGGTCATAGGAATGGACATCAGCACACACGAGATAATAATGAGGAAAAAAATAGATGGGATGGCAGTGGCAGTGAAGAGCGTGGAGATGAGAACTGCAAAAAAGATGTACAAAATGAGCAGCCATCTCGTCGTTGCGGGAGATGCTCTGGGGACAGTGACCATTTTTGACATTAACGGGAATGTTATCTATAAGGAGAAAAATGCACACTCAGGCCACGTGACATTCATATGCGAAATAGACGGAGTGGTGGTGACAGCAGGAATGGACGGTCTGCTGGTGCAGCACAGGATAGGAGAGGAGGCTCTTATCAAAGAGGTGGGAGAGTCTGTTCTGTCAGGAACAGTTTACAACGACTCCATAGTGCTGGCTGTTGAAGGGTCTCTATTATTTTTATCTCTAGATCTGAAGAAAATCTCAAAAACTCCAGTAGATATACCAAATATAGTAAACATTGGAATGGTGCAGGATGTGTGTCTTATCACCACAGAAGAGAGCGATATTGTCTTGGGCAGTGTGCTAGATGGCCGTCTGCTGCTTGACAAAATAATCGTTGGAAACAACGATGAAATAACAGACATGCTAATAATAGACAACACTGTGATAGTAGGGACTAACAGCAGATACATTAGAAGTATGCGCACAAACAGATGGCATGAGAGCGATGGAATGGAGACATACGCATGCAGTGGCAGCCTGATCAAAGCACAGAACGAAGAGTGCATTCTCAGTATGTGCGGGAACGGGAAGGTGTTCTACACAGGAAGTAAAGATGGGTACATAAGCAAGTATGAAGTGAGAGCTGAATCTGTGCACAGCACAGTGGAGCTGGTGGAGACAGTAAAAATAGAAGAGGCAATAACAGTCATGTGCGCACACCAAGACATTCTTATAACCGGCACAGAAGGAGGGATTGTGCACGGATGGAAAATATCAGAGAAGCTATCGCTTGTATTCACATCAGCCGTTAGCAGCTCAGAAATAACAGGCATAGTTGTGCAGAATAAAAAGATACACTGCACAAGCAAAGACAAAGAGATCAAAATCATTACTATATCAGGAAATAAAGACAGTGTAATAAGCGGACACAAGAAGGGAATATGGTCCCTATCCACGTACAAAGAAGTACTTCTCACGGGCTCAACAGATAAAACCGCCAGAATATGGAAGAGCGACACAAACAGTGTGCTGCAGCACAACGCATCGGTGGTCAAGACTCTTCTCACAGAAAGAGCCGTAACTGCAACATCGGACGGAGTGGTGAGAATATGGAATGTCGCGAACTACAAAGAGCTAGCAGCGCACAGAGTAACAGAGATGAAAGACGAGAGAATATGGGCCATGAAACAGTACAGAGAGAACGAGTACATTGTGAGCGCAGGCCCTCGCATTGTCGTCCTGAAAGACAACACATGGGAGCTTGAAAAAAAGAAAGAGGAGACACAAAAAGAAGAGTATATTTCAAAACAAAAAGCCTCCATATTTATGAAAAAGGGAGACTTTGTGAGCGCAGCAGTTGAGTACTACAGGCTTGGCCTAGAAAGAGAGCTGAAGAGCGCAATGCGAAAGATAGAGGTGGCAGACACAATATCTCCATTTATGGAGGTGATAATGCTGGAGCCCGCAAAGTTTATAAAATCAGTGAGCAAATGGGCCAGATCTCCGCAGCTGTTTACAATTGCGCAGAGAATACTTAGAGATGCGCTCAGCAGAGAATGGACACTGCCCAGAAAAGACGCAGAAGATCTTTCAAAAACCCTCCAGAGAACGGCAGAGACATTCAACAGTGCGTACTGATAAATACAATAAAACATAAAATCATCATAGAATCTTCCCTCCTTGTAGCTGTATAGTGCTGTACTACCTCTTTATTTGTATTTTTATTATAGTTGGTGGAGTGCATAGAGCTGTCTGCTCAGTCTTCAAACTTGATTGATTTAACCGTTGTGTCTATTTTTCCAAGCTTGACCATTCCTTTCTTGAGCTTCTTTTTTTCTCTGTTGAAGTTCTTTCCTTTGTGCGTCTTTAGATGGCCGCCAGACCGTTTTGAGTGTGTGAGAAGCTCTTGCTGGGCGCGCGCCATTTATTATTTCAGAATTTTCACTTAAATTTTATGCAAATACCAAGCGAAAAATAAGCAAAAATAGAATAAAAATAGCTATGCCTCTACGCACTGCACTACCATCCACTAAACAGATGCAAAAAGCAGATCTGCTCTTTACCTATTTTTGTTTCTGCTCTATCAACTTTCTATCACGTCTTTATTTGAGACAAGATTCGATTATGTACAATCTTGCTTTCATTTTCTCATCACAGAGACTTATATTCTATCTTAACTGCATGTAACACCTACCCACCACACGAAATATACCATCAATGAGCACAGATACGCAAATCAGATTGAATCTGTCCATCCATTGCAGGATGCATCCACACTGCCAACTTTTGTTTGCTCTATCTGTTTTTCTATAGCACGTCTGCAGAAACAGTGCAATGCTTGCACTCTGCCGTGTCTGCACCCACCACAATGTTTTTGCACTTTTTGCAAATGCTGAAGCCAGCAGGAAGGGAGTTCAGGCAGTGCGAGCATGCAGCGTACGGTGGATACTTTTTTATTTCCAAAACTTCAATAAAAAACAGAACGAGCCACGTGGAGTTGCGCCTAGCGACTATTTTGCTTATGTTTTTGCACATGCCGCAGAGAATTACCTCGTTCTCTCCTTCCACGCTTTTTCTGCTCTTTCGGTTTATCGTCTTCGTAAATATATCTGCAATTGGCATAGTTTTTATTTGTTTAGTATTGTAAATATATTTTTATGGACCGAGTGCATAGTAAGTGTGCACACTTTAAGCACACGGGAATAGCAGATGCAGTGGAGATAGGAAGAGGCGGGTGGATGTGCATTCTGCTTGTCTTGCTGGTCGCAAACTACAAAGCCTGGCAGAGCGAGTACACTCGCACTGTCTTCTGGATGATCTTCAGAGATATCACGGATTCTGTGGGCCATTTTTCTGTTCTATCGCTTGTCTCTGTGAATGTCCTCAGATGGATCCTTATCAGCTGCATTTCCAGCCAGATAAATTCTACAATTATCTACAGCACAATTTGCGCAGGCATTGCGCTAGAGGGCGTTATATACCTGTACGGCCCCACGGGGTTTATGGGCGTGGTGTTTAGATACCTCAGTCTGTCGCAGCTCATGAAGGGCATATCGTATCTGCTGACAAAGAGAGAAATAGCAAATATTGGGGTGGATGACCAGAAGATAAACAAGCCAAAGAAAAAAGCATCTCTCTTGAGGTTTATCGCATATCCCACGCTGTGCTATCAGCAGGAGTACCCCGTATCTGAGTCCATTTCTGTTTTTATGCTGGTTATATACTCTCTTATGCTTTTTCCATTTTCTCTGCTCGCTTACATATGTCTGCAGATCATGTGCTGCAGTGCGGCAAGCAAATTTTGGAGCAATGTGTCTTTTTCGTCGTACGTAGATGTGTTTATCTGGAGCAATGCAGGATGGTTTTCTGGGTTTATTTTCGTGTTTGTGGCAGTGTATGGGCTGCAAAGCGAAGTAACGAAGTTTGGAGACAGAGTGTTCTTTGAGGCGTGGTGGAATGCAACTATTTCTGAGTACTGGAGAAAGTGGAACTGCCAGGTGTACAGATGGATAAAGAGACACGTGCATCGGGACCTGATCAAAAGAAACATCACATCGAGAAGCAGCAAAATAATAATATTCATGGTGAGCGGGGCAGTGCACGAGTACATCATAGGAGACGTATTGACTCTTAGAGGCATTGGATTCCTTACGATGGTGATGCAAATACCGCTCGAGTCTTTCATTAAGCTGTGCAATAGGCTAGTTAAGCTTGACCAGCACATAGCAGCCACCGTTGTATTCAATGTAATTGGTGCGCCCTTGCTTGTTCTTCTATCTGTTATGTACAAAAACACAGTGTCTACTGAATAAATGCAGTATCTATGCAAATAATAAAGCGGATTGGCCTTTTACAGCACCTCCACAGGATATGGCTGTAAGAAGTATCTCATTTAGAATATAGAAACAAATTGAAAATTATTTAAATCCTCAAAGATAAGATAAAAATAAAAATAAATTAAACAAATAGTTATTAAATGGATAAAATAGGTAGAGATAGTGTAAACAGATAAATGCAGCTGTTTAGTGATTGAGTGGGTTGGCTACATCTTCTGTGTGTCCTTTAAAGGAAGTGTGTGTTTTTATTTTTATTGCTGTTTTAGTTTTCTCCATATAGGAAAAATAGAACACCTATTTATTCGTTGCTTTGAGTAGGCCTATAAATACAGTGAAATTTATTTTTATAATGAAGCGTGGAGTAGTACTGATTATTTATCTGTGCAGCCTTATTTCTGGTGGGATCTGCAAAACAAAAGGCCCAAACCGAAAGAAGTGTGCAAAAATAGCGAGCAGAAAAGAAAAAGAGTACGAGAGCGCTCTCCATCTCAGAAATGTATACAGAGAAAAAGCTGATATTCTGATCAGTAAACTGGAAAATGAAAATGCATACGAAACTCACCATCACCATCAGCAGCTGAAAAACAACATCGAGAAACAAAAAGAGAGGGCAAACGAAAGCTTGCATAGGATGAAGAATGCAATATACGATCTCAACAGAAAGCTATATGAGGATGCTAAAAATGGTACAGAAAAAACAAAAGAAAAATGTGTGGAGCATTTGGATGCTCTATCCTCTGAGGTGGCTAAGAGTATAAACGCCCTAAGAATCAGCTGCATAAATATTATGGTGCAGAACTTCTACACCCACAGCACAGCTACTAGCATGCGCATTGTTTCAATGGCGAGGCTGGGCTGCACTGCTGCAGAAAATCTTATGTACTGTTTTGTAATGGTCGGTGAAAAAGTTTTATCTGCTGATTTAGAAAGGAAACTGCTGAGTTATTGTGGCGGCTCTGGAACAAAAGATGCGTACAAGCTATTTATCAAGTCACTGTTGGCTGATGTGAAATCTACAGATGTAAAGAAGATTGTGCCTTTGGAATATCTTGATAGTAACTACCACATTCTGCTTTTGGACATATTTAATTCTAGGGCTCTCGGAAAAAGAGAGCTAGAAACAATCATCAGTGACTTTATGAATATGGCCGCAGGAATTTCAGTTGACAGACCAACCTTGACTGTTTCTGGGCTAATTGATGCCATTGCCATGTTCACTGTTCTTGATCCGTACTTTTACTACTACGACAGTAAAAAGCATTTTATGAACGGAATAGTAAACACAGTTGAGTACATGCTTAACGCAGAAGAAGAGTCTACTAGAATAAAAAATACAGAAGACCTCTCAAACTTGGTGAGAAGTATGGCATCAAAAGCCAGAAGAGCCAGAGATGAAGAGTGCAAACCATTGAACTTAAACATAAGTGAGGATGTTTACAACAGGATTATTTCGTATCTGCACAGCGAAACAATAACCGATGTCTATGCAAATGAAGAGGTGAATGTTCTCACTGCTATGCATCCTGTGTACGACATGCTAAAACAGGTGAATTTCTCCATTGATTCAGCAGGACCAGCGGTGAGCAGAAAAGAAAAAATTATTCTTACAGTCGACAAAATAAAAGATGAAACAGCAAGCACTATAGACATGTCTGACATACAGTGCATTGAAAATGCGAAGAACATCACGGTAAAATGCTCCAGCAGAATAAATAAGAGAATGGCTGATAGGTTTAGTAATCTGGCCCATATGAGCATCACTCCGTCTCCTTTAGTAGAGGTTATCCGAGAATAGTACCCATTCTTGCAGCTAGCACTCGTCCAAACACCTTTAGAACCTCAATAAATTCTTTATTGACTAGAAGCTGCGCTTTCTCATTAGCTAGTCTCTTTTTCTTTTCTCCCACCTTACACGGCAGTTATTTACTGTGCCATTGGATAGAACTCAAGATTGAAATTATCCGCATTGAAAAAATAGAAAGTACAAGTATAATATTATTTATATAAACAGCCTGCTGGACTCCTCGGGATACATTTTATCCGCTATGACCTTGAGAACACAAAGCTTTTTAATAAAACACTCCAGCGCCATTTGGACAGACAGAACAGTGAGGGGCCTGATTCTCTCTATCTTTCTCTGCGCTTTGAGTATTTCCCCAAGCAGCCGCTGCTTGCTGACGAAAAATGTTTTTGTTTTTGTTGTTATGTAGTACTTGCTCGTTTCAACGCCCTGGCTCCTTTCCAGTCTTTGGATTACTGTTTTTTCCACACGCATGCTCTCTTTAACCGCCGAGCTAAGCTCGTTGAACGAAGTGTAGAAGTCTTCGTTTATCTCTATGCATTTGCTGCTTTCTGGGAGGTCTTCTGGGTCAAAGATAAGCTCGCTCATGTAGCTCACCACGAGCATAACGGGCCTAATGGACGGTTTCTTTTTATTTGCTGCGGTGTCTCCTGCAAAGATGTTCTCTGCGCTTCTGTTGAGGTTTGTAAATGATGAAAGGCCCTTTGTTTCTATGTATATCTTTTTGTCAGGCAGTGCTGACGGTTTTTCTTCAAAAGTGTGTAGGGTAGAGGGTGTCCAGTGCATCCCGCTCCCGTAGAAAGATTTTATATACATGATAAGGTTTGTTTGTGTATGCAACATGTTTACTGCAAAAATAAAAACAATCCACTACTGTTGAGGCATTTTAATAAGAAAAATAAAAACACTACACTTTGTTTTTGTTTCATTTTAATTTAACTTTTGTTTTATTTTTATTTCACATTTATTCCTAAACTGTCTGTGCATTGCAGTGCTTCTATCTCTGTTTTATATTCCATAACAGCTCAACTTTACAACGCATTATGTTACTCCTCGAAGGCTCATACTTTATACAATGAAACCTATTCGTTCTTATCGAATGGATTGGCATGCTTAGATAGCTAAATGGTATTCTCTTCACTCTCTTGTAATTCGCTATATTATAAACCCTTTCTTTCGCAGATCGTTTTTAACGTCATTCAAGAGGTCTTTGTCTGTTGTCTTTAGATGCTCAAACAAATACTCAAAGTACTCTCTTCTCTGCAAGATAGAGATGCCAGGTATCCACGCAGTAAAGTTGCATATTATGTTCCCGTCCTCGTCAAAAAACATTTTATCTATTATTTCATCAACTTCGCTCTTTTCTATTGTGGCGTTCTCCTTAAGGACTTCAAACAAAAACAGAGACGCGTCTTCGCTTTCTTCTAGCAGGTATTTTATGTACTTGCTGTAGACGTTCTTCCCTGTTGCTTCTTGCAGTATTTGCACTCTTACTTCGCTGCTCTCTTCTGGCAGAACGTCTTTCCAGTTTATTTTGCTTTCATGCTTCACTCTTATTTTCACCAGATAGTTGTACTCCACTAGAGAGAGGTGCTTTATGTGCTGTATGCTGTACTTTACAACGGATGTGCATGCCCTACTCAGAGCACTCTTTGTGCCAAGTATTCTCCATAGGTCATAGCGCAGAAACATGTGGTATTGGCTGCTGCAGTGAGCTGGTCTTTTTGTCTGTGCTCTATCGTACTTTTTGCATCCTGCTCCTGCATCTTCTGCTTCTTGACTGTGCAATGAGCTGTGGTCATTTGCACCTGAGCATCCAGCTGCATTCTTATTGTCTTCTATAGTATTATTTCCGTTATTTCTGTCATTCCTTTGGTGCATATTGTCTTCATTTTCACTTCCAAGCGGGTAGAGTTTGCACTTTTTTCTTACAAAAAGAAGAGCCTTTTTTAGCTCATTGTATTCGCTCTCGCAGCTTACGTAGTCTGTGCTCTTATTCTCTGTATTTTTCTGTTTTTTTTGTTTAGTTGCTGCTTCAAGCGACAAAAGCATGCTCAGAAGCTCGTCGTATATAGGCGCCATTTCTTCAATCTTTTCCATTCTGTCTATGTTGTATGCACAGAGAATGAAGGCGTTGGCTGCCTTTCTGCAGGTTTCATGGATTGCGGATAGACTGGATTTTTCGCTTTTTGATACAACAGCCGAAGTGTGCATGCTTTTGATGTACTCTGCTACAACCTGCGTGCTAAACGGATCGATGGCCATTGCATACTCGTACTCTTTCTTGTGCCTAAACACGCTAGCTATCTTAGCGTATAGGGGGTTTATCTCGCTGAGACAAGGCAGATACATTATCTGTGCTTTTTTCAGGTATTTTCGCATTGTCTCCACTGATCTTGAAAAAAGATGGGAGGAGGTGGAGAGTGTCTGGCCGTCTGGCGAGATGATCTTCCACTTGGAGACCAGATACCTGTGTTTAATAAAGTGGGCAAAGAACGGCATGTGAGTCTCGCCTGGCAAAATGCTCAGCAGATACATAGCGTCCGAAAAAGTAAAGAACTCGCGCACGGGAGAAGGACACCAAATAAAGAAAAGCTTCTTTTCTTCCATAGGCACGCTTTTGGAATAAAGGATGCTCAGGAGAAAGTAAGATTGTGCAATGGGGATGCTTTTTCTAAATACATCTGCCACGCTGTGGACTGATGGATTTTTAATAGCTGCCAAGCAGAAAAGGACCATGCTAGCACTTTTTAGGGCGCATGCTTTCTCAAGCACTCTAAAGTAGAGAGAAGACACAGTCAGTTCAAGAAAGCAGTAGTGGTGGAGCATGCTCATTACTTCGTATTCATCCGCCATTTCGACAAGGTATCCCTTGAGAACGCTTTCAAAGGCAAGAATGTCTCTATCTTTTGTCTTACTGTTTTTTGTAAGAATGTTCATCCGTATGGAATTCATTGTGGTGTCTGCGTCGACTGCAGAAGTATCCATCATCTCATCACTATCTTTCATTATATCACTGCTCTTCATACTGCTATTTGCAGTGCTATCAACTGCTAACACTTTCTTTGCTTTGCACAGGTCAATTGACGGATTCCAGCTCTTGTGTTTTAGATAGGACCACGTGGATATTTTCTTTGTAACTCGGCGGATGCACTGGTTTATGTACTCTCCTTTCCACTGAGCATGGGTCTTTGGGTCTGCTCTGTTGTTTTTGTCTGTCTCTTTTTCGCTGTGTTCTTTTGTCTCTGATACTTCCCATAGATGGAGATGGTTCTTGACAAATTTTCCTATTTTTTTTGTTATTCTGTTCACGGGGATGTAGTCTAAAAGACAGATGTATGCTGCATACAGCGAATACTCTTCGTCAATAAAGAAAAGATCATCAGTCCATATGGAGGAGAACGTGTCAAGAACAAAAACAATGCAGTCAATGACCTGCACAGGTATAAACTCGCTTTCTGAGATATGTAACGGATACTTTATGTTCGGGTTGTACTCCTGCGGTGTTCCCACGGAAATTGAGAAATCATTTTGTGCATACTGCTCATTCACTGGATGCGAGTTATCGTGCAACCACGCCTTTACCATGTGCAGCCATGAGGATGCATCCTCTGCCGTGTCTGTTTCTCTGTTCACCAGATGGATGCAGGAAATGTCTTCGATCTCTGCTGTTAGTATGAGCTGAAATATGCTCCACAGCAGGGAATACACATCGTTTGCCAGTGCTTCTGTTTCACTGTGTTGGCTGCCACTATTCTCGCCGCTATTTGCACCATTTGCGATTTTTTGGAAGTGGTAGAGTTTGCGTATTCTCGTTCTTTCTCTGTCCATCAGAAAGAAAGATACGGGTTTTGTTTTTATTATTCTGTTGATGCAGAAGATGGCCTCCAAATGGTTTCCAACTAGCTTAAAATACTCCAACTTTGCACTGTCTTCGGGGCTGTAGTTTTCCATAATATGGAGGCACAGCTCGGCGTCTTCTGCCTGCGCTGCTATCCTGAGAGCATTTGTTGCAGCAAGGCTCTCTATTTCTCTGTGCTCTTTGTGTGGATTTTCAGGCACTCTGTCAACTATCTCCAGCAGCTCCTGGACAGACTCATTTCTCAGCGCCTCGTAGTATTGTTTTTTCAGAATATCTTCAGTGCACAGCTCAGAACTTTCGTTCTGTGTTGTAAATTTCATAGCAATGAATAAAATTTTTATTGAATGTTTTTGGACAAAGAAGTAAATTCAGTTGTACTCCAAGAGAACTCGCTTCTTGTGATGGGCAACAAAGAGATAGAAGAGTACTCTCTAAACACATGCCAAGCAACAAACAGATACAGAACAGAGCACAGCCATTTTTCTGTGGCACAGAATAAACTAATAAGTGTGCATAACGGCAGCATATACTTGCACAGAAGCAGAGAGATCGGCGGAAAGACAGAAAAAGAAGAATCAGAAAATGTGAGCGGAAACAGAAAGAGTGAACAGAGCGAAATGGAAGGAGAAGTAGTGGGGAGAATCGAAGGAGAGATCCAGAATAGAAGAATACACATAGCAGACGAGTGGGTGTATGTATATACCGTAGAAAATGGGTCTATGCACATTACAAAGAGTAGAATCTCAGCTGACCCAAAAACAAAGAAAGAAAAACTTCCCCTGATAGAAATACCAGAGCATTTTGTGTGGAAGAACGACTCTGTGTACTTTGTCAAAGAGAGCACGCTCTATGAGCACAATGCAAGCACAGGGGAGGCAATTTCTCATGTGACTTTGCCCAGGATAAAAGTGTGCGCCTTGGAAGTAACTGATCATTACGCAGTCGTTGCAGTCGATAATATCCTTCTTATCATAAACTTAAGCAGCAAGATAGTTCAGAAAGTGACCTGGCACTCCAGTGAGATCAGAAAAATACTCCAGCTAACGGATGACCTGATCATCTCGCAGTCCAGCAGAGGCATCATTCTTCTCACAGACTGCAACTCGCATAGCAATACGTACATCACCACAGATCACGAAATAATCAGAGAAAAGTTCAGAGGAGAAAAAGCAAAAAAAAGCGCACTTTACGTCTCTCCACTCGGATACCTTGCCATCCACTGCGAGTCGTACATTAGGATAGTAAACATTCCCTCTAAGACAGTGCAGACCATCTATCTGCTAAAAGCAGCCAAAAGTGCGGTAGAAGTGCAAAAAAAGAGCCTAGAAAAAGAAGAGTTTGTGCCCACCTTTGACGAGCCAGAAAAGAACAGAAAAATAATGCAGGTGTTCAGCAGAGGAATGTATCTGCCAGAGAGCACGATGTACTGTGTTGGAAACGCTCTTGTTTTTGTGAGCGGAGGAGAAGCCTACAGAATATTCCAGGAGATTCCAGAGATAAAAAGTGCATTCTATTCGAATGGGTACATTCTCGTGAGCACAGTAGAGACGGAAGAGCTCGAAATACTCAGAGAGAAAGTCGTTGAGCAAAAAGAAAAGCTTATTTATAGATTGTACAAAATATTGCCAAATGCCCTGGAAATCGTAGCAGAGGCAGAGATGCAAGAAATAGAAAGTGCAAAGGAGATTAAAAGAGTAGAAGTAGACAGCACCAGTGTAAGAATCACCATTGAGCAAAATGGAGCAACACTCACGAGTGAATACGACCATTCTTTAAGCAGCATTCAGTAAACCTATAATCAATAAATCATACAATAACTTACGACAGTATTACCTGAGAAAACTTTGTGACTGAGAGGGGCTAGCGTGAGTAGTCTGCAGCAATTAAAATAAATAATTAAATGTGGTGCTGGAAAGAGGAAAAGTTGAAATAGAAAAATAAAATTATTAAAAATGGAGTGCCGCTGGAGCAATTGCACAGAGACTTTCAAAGACCAAAAAGACTTTGCAACGCATGTGAACAAACACATAAGAGATACCGACGCAAGAAGCTGCAAGTGGAAGGACTGCACGAAAGTCTTTGAAAAGAAAATCAGCAAGTGCACACTGCTCACACACATACGGATACACACAAGAGAAAAGCCCTTCAAGTGCTCGCTGTGCTCGAAAGAGTATAGCAGATCGGACGCACTGAATAAACACATGAAGTCGCACGAGCAGATAGCAGCAGACGAGAACATCTTCATAAAGAAGCTTTCTTATCTCTACGTGCTGCAGCAGGAGGTGGAGATAGGCATAGCATCGGCGCAAGAAGAGTACAAGCGGCTTATGGTGGAAAATGAGCTGCTTCTGGATTTTATTTGCAAAAACATTAAGAAGATTCCTGTAGGTAAACAAAATAGCTAGGGCTGTAGACAAGGAGCATTGAGAAAGAAGAATAGAGGACGTTCGCACTGTCCAGAGAGATTTTATAAAGAGCACCAATTAAGTACTACACTGTGTTTGTTCAAATTTTTAGTTATTTTTGATCTTTTGATCTTCTGTTTTATCGCACTCTTCTGTCTGCTGCGTGCTGTGACTTATGCCAGCTGCTGTTTGGCTTCTAGATTGTTGATCAGCTGAGCAGAGACTGTAGCGGTGCTTTGCAGTTAGGATGAAAAGCAAACTATTTTTATTTCATTTTCATTTTATATCCATGGCCATACAGCTTCTACCTAAAGAAGTTATTGAGACTATTGCAGCGGGAGAGGTAATTACGTCGCCCACTGCAATGATTAAAGAGGTTCTAGAGAATAGCCTGGACAGCGGATCTGACTTTATACGAATCACCGTGGCTGATAGACTTTTGGATGAAATAGAAATCGAAGACAACGGATCGGGAATACAGGAGGAAGATCTTTCTCTCTTGTGCACGAGACATGCAACCAGCAAGCTATCAAAGCACAGCGATCTTGAGAGAATATCTACGCTTGGCTTTAGAGGAGAAGCTTTAGCATCCATTTCTGTCCTGTCCGAGCTAACGGTCAGAACATCGACAGGCGGGGATGAGTACGGCTTTGAGGCAGAGTATCTGCACGAGGAAATGATAAATAAAAAGAGAACTACAGTGAAAAAAGGAACAAAAATAACCATCAGAAAGCTGTTCAAAAATGACCTGCAAAAGTACCAGACATTCTTAAACAGCAAAACAGAAATCAAAAAAATAGTTGCACTGATAATGAGATACGCGGTGTGCTACACGAATGTGTCGTTTGAGATATGCACGGAAACAGAGATAAAAAGGTACAACATTCCCAAGCCGCCAAACAAGCAGAGCGCAATAGGGAACATATTCTCGCAGAAGCTCACACACGAGCTTGTTAGGCTGGTGATAAAGGTTCCTAGCTCAGACACAAACTGCACGTGCTATGTCACCCACACAAACATCTCGTTTCCCTCTCCTGTTTTTATTATGTTTGTGAACAGAAGACTTGTCGAGATACAGAGGATAAAAAAAAGCATTGGCGGAGTGTACAAAGAAATACTTGTGAAGGGCCATCCGTTTGTCTACCTAGAAATAAACACGGCACAGGAGAAGGTGGATGTGAATGTGCACCCCTCAAAGACGGAAGTGTATCTGAAAGAAGAGGAACAGCTGAAAGAAGAAATAGAAGAGAAAATGAGAGAAGTGCTGCAGACACAAAAGATGTCAGGGAGCACAAAAATAAACAAGCTAGCAAACGTCATCAGTGGTGAAAATAAAAAACAAATATCACAGGCATCACAGACATCGCAGCTGAATATATTGCAAAGTGTGGCGCAGTTATCACAAAGTGCTGGTGCAGAGCCAAAGATATCACAGATCTTTCCAAAATCAGCACAAAGATCGCAGAATGTGTCTCAGCTATCCCAAAGCATGTCACAGAGTGCAAGTGATTCTGACATACTAAAAACGCCGCCAGCAAAGAGAGTGCGGACAGACAGCAAAATAAATCCGCTCAGCTTATTTTTCAACTCACCAAAAAAACAGCCATTCTACTCTCCGGCAAAGCCGTCTTCAGTCCAGAAGATTGCCAGTAAGATCGACCAAAAGACATCAGCGCCAAGCACAAATGCGCTAGAAGAGAGTAAGATTGAGACAAAAGTGCCAGAGAATGGCAAAAGTGAAAGTGATCCAAAAGAGCCACAAAGTAAGTTGCTAAAAGATTCTATTTTTATAGGAATGCTATCAGGACACTGGGCTGCCATCCAGAACGAGATAGATATGTATGCTATGAACCTATTCAGTGCTCTATTTGCGTGCATAACCAGGTCATCAGAAGAAAAAACGGTCTACACATCGATAGATGTCTCACTTGACAGTACAAGCTATTTCCTAAAAGAGAGCGTAAAAAAAGAGCTGCAGGAAGCAGGGATAAAAATAGAAAACAACAGAATCACACAGTTTAAAATTCCCTCGTTCGAATGCACACAGAGAGATTCTACAATTGACGCACAAAAACTCTCCGAGATGATTGCGAGCATAGACAATCCAGCAGACAACGATCGATCTACACCGCATGATCTTAATAGTAAACACAGAGGAGACGTGCTGTTCTACAGAGTGCTAACAGAATACTACATAAAGCACCACACGCTCCACATTTTTAAGGAAATACAGCAGCTGTTCCTGCAGCTGCCAACTGACTCTCTAAATTTACCAGTGAATAATCCATCATCCGGCACGCGAAAAGAGCCTTCGCTCTTAAAATCACTGGAGATCGTAAAGCTCACCTCTGTTACAGAGCTATACCAATTGTTCAGCAGGTAAGAAAAATAAACCAATTGCCAGAGAGTCTGAGAAACCAATAAAAAAAATTTGTCTATTTATTTCTAGTGTTGTGGCTTAATATGACAAATATATTCGAGCATGGAAAGGCTCTCAGAGAAAACTACAAAAAAGAGTACACAAGGAGTACCGAAAAAAAAGAAGAATTCTTTGCAGAGCAGGCAAGAGCGCTTCTCACGTTCTCAAAAGATTTCTCAAAAACATACACAGTAGATAATAACCTGCCCAGGATAGCATGGTTTGAAGACGGGGAAATAAATGCATGCTACAACGCAGTGGACAGACATGCGAGGTCTACGCCTGACAAGGTGGCCATTCTCTACGAGGATGATTTTGAAGCGATTACGCAAATAACATACAAAGAGCTTCTTGATAGAGTGATGGTCTTTGCAGACTATCTCAAATCCCACGGGGTAAGCAAAGGAGAAACCGTCTGCATCTACATGCCCATGGAGCCCAATGCTCTTATCGCATCGCTTGCGTGTGCTAGGCTTGGGGTAGCACACACGGTGGTTTTTGGAGGATTCAGCTCCGAAAGTCTCTCGCTCAGAATAGAAGACTCAGACGCAGTCTGGCTCATAACCTCAGACATCATAAAGAGAGGAGGGAAGACCATAGACTATCTGACCAACGTGCTAAATGCAGTGGAAATGCTCTCGTCCTCCGGCAGCTCTCCACTGAAGGGCATGCTCATATGCGACAGAGAGTCCATAAAGCCAGACACGCTATCAAAGCTAGCAGCTTTTGTAAAAGTACACCTTTTTTCCGAAGTTACCAAGAGCGAAAATAGCGTAGAGTTTATTCCCTGTGTACCAGTTCCATCTGAAAATATTCTCTTCCATTTGTACACCAGCGGGAGCACAGGGAGACCCAAAGGCCTTTCCCACAGCACGGCTGGATATTTGCTGTACGCAGCCCTGACAACTTTGATCTGTTTTGACATCAAGGAAAATGACGTGTTCTTCTGCACAGCTGAGCTAGGATGGATAACCGGGCACTCCTATGTGCTGTACGGGCCACTTACGCTGGGAATCACAACAGTTGTCTTTGGAGGCATTCCCACCTATCCCGATCCATGCAGGCTTTTCAGATCAGTGGAAAGACTCAAGGCCACGCACCTATACACTGCGCCTACGGTTGTAAGACTGCTGCAGAAGTCTCTCCCAGACTGTCTTGTGCGGCCGTACGACAAAACAGAGTCGCAGGACAATCTCGTCCCAGCAGTTGACCATGTCCCAGACTCTCCTGCGAGCGCGAGGTCTATTTTTACACACGGCATAACAAATACGTTCGACAGGAGCAGATACTTCAAAGAGTTCAAGGAGGACTGTCCGCTGGCTAAAATCGATCTTTCCACACTGCGAGTGCTCGGATCAGTGGGAGAGCCAATAAACAAGGGAGCATACATCTGGTTCTCCATGTACTTTGGAGACGGCAAGCTGCCTGTGGTGGATACGTACTGGCAGACTGAGGCAGGGGGCGTGATGCTGTGCCCCATCATTGGCGTCTCAGAGTACAAGCCTGAAAGCGCGTCATTCCCGTTCTTTGGGATGCAGCCTGTTGTCATAAAAAAAGACACGGAGACATTTGAGGAGATTGTAGGAGACTCGGGAATACTGCTGTTTAAGGAGTTTTGGCCAGGCATAGCCAGAACAATAGTGAAGAACCACGAAAGGTACAAGAGCGCATACTTCCCATACGATGGATACTTCTACACGGGCGATGAAGTGTTCAGGGATGCAGACGGATACTTTTGGATCAGAGGAAGAATTGACGATGTGATAAACGTGTCAGGACACAGGCTGAGCACAGCAGAGATTGAAAGCGCCATATGCTCCATTGAAGGCATCGCTGAGGCTGCAGCACTTGGAGAAGAGGACGAGGTGACGGGACAGGGAGTGACCATATTCATCGTAAAGTCAAAAGAGATAGACGATGAAATACTATTTCCTCTGATCAAGCAGGTGCTCAGGAAAAAGATAGGGCCAGTTGTATCGCCAAAGAGGATCATATCGTGCCCCGAGCTGCCAAAGACGAGCACGGGGAAGATGATGCGAAGAGTGCTCAGGAAGATCCTTGAAGGCCAGGAAGTGGGAGACATCAGCACGTGCATAAACCCAGACTCCATCACATTCGCAAAGTCAAACATAGCAAAGTAGTAAAGATGTTTTATTTTAACTTTTAATTTTTGTTGTTTTACTGATAAAATGTCGAATATTTTGATTTTCTTATCTCTGAAAGAGTACAGATTGGATAGATACAGCATAGTCTAGGGAGTAACTGCAGATAGATAAACTAAACACCTAAAAGCAACTAGGCATAATATTCTATGCTGTTTGTGTACTCTAGTCTTGGACCTAGCTATCTGCTGACTCTTCTCCTAAGCACAGCAATGTTTTATTTTCTCATTTATAATTAAATAAATTAATATTAGAAGTATGGAAGCTCGGCTCAGCACGTACAAAACGGGACACGGGCCTGAAGAGCTCTTCAGCGAGAGCCTGGAGCAGTTCTGGCACACAGACGGAAACCTGCCGCACTACATTGAAATAGAATTCCACGAGATAAAAAGACTCGCAGAAATAAAAATGAACTTGGGGCACACGCAGGACAAGAGCTACATCCCGAAGGAGATAGAAATACGATGCGGAAAAACAAGAGATACCATCGAAGTGCTAAAAACGGTCTTGATAAGCGACAAAATGCCCGTAGTGAACATATCGATAAACGAGGACTGCTGCTATCTCCAAATAATCATCCTCAGCAACCACCAGGAGGGCAGAGACTCCAGAATAAGAGGGCTTACACTGTCGTTCCAAGACTGAACGCAGAGTTTTAAAATTAAAAAGCAGAGAATACTGTAGTAGAGAAGGCCTATTCATTCACCAGTTGTAGAATGGAGAGTCTAGGGGAGTGGTGTACGTCTTTGCGTGCTTAAACGGCATGCCAAGTGTGCAGTCTTTGAACTTATCGCAGGAGATAGGCCCCAGCACTTTCTCAGCGCCATCTGATGTTTTTCTGTAGAGAATGCTGCCCCCCAGGAAAAAGAGTTTTGAGCAATAGCGAATGAAGCTCTTCTCTTTTCTGCTCATTGCAGGGCTGTGCGTCTTTGTTCTCAGGAACTGCTTGATGTTCTGTATTTCTGCAGTCGCTATCTTGATAGCTCTCATATTCAGATAAAATATTTGAAACTAAATAGAAGACAGGATATTAAATTGAAATGCAAATAACGCACCTCACTATCTGAGAGACAAACAAAGAAACTCATTTTTATTCCACACCCACAGCCAAAGAAAGAATAAACCAACTAAAGTAGCACACATTCCATTTATTTAATCATCTGAAGCATGGATCTTTTTCTCCACTGAAACTACGCACACTCCCCAGAATTAATTTAATTTTAGTTTGAGTCATTCCCATATGGCACTGCATAGACTTAGCTACATAATTACATCAAACACTCTGCCCATACAAAGATCCACTCAACTATTCCTGTATGCAGCCAGCTAGCAAAGTAACCAAAGCATTGTCCAGCCAATTTGCTAGTCCACAATTAGCCTATTGTCTGCTTCATTAGCTAATACGTCTGCATTTGGGAATATTACTTTCTTAATTACTTGTATTCCTATTCTCTGACTCTCAGGTACTCTTGCGATGCGCTCAGCTGCTTAATGAACGTGTCTGGCAGATTGTGTCCCATTTTGAGTTTTATTACTGCCGATATGTTCCCATTGAGGGAGGCCTTTAGTAGCACTGTTTTTCTTCCCTTTTGCGCAACATCGAGGACAGCTGTTGTCTTGATGAAGAAAGAACAGAAACTGAACGTGGGCTTGGCTGGTATGTAGATAAGTCTGCAGTTGGTGACAAATATTGTCCCGCTGGGTGAGCTATGTCTGTACGTGTTAAAGAACCCTCCCTCTCCCACGGTGATGTAGAAGTTGACTTTTTCCGCAGTGTAGAGCAGCGCCTCGTCGTCGTCCAGAGGAAGCGGGGTGCCTGCGAGAGTGAAGAGACACATGTTGAAGTTTCTGTACGATTCTCTGAGCATTAACAGTCTTTTTTTAATGTTTTTTTGTATAAATAAGCACGCAAATATTTTTTTCAGTAATGACTTTACTTTACAGAATCATTTGTATAGTAAGCATGCTACTGAATTCTTTTAATTCGGTGCCCACTCAGTACTGGAGTGAGGAATAACAACTTCAATTCTGTAATGGAAGGCTAGGGCTATAAGGAATGTACCCTCGGGTTATTCTTAGCTCTTTTGATGAATCGTTTTCCTCCGGATTATTTCTGTTGAGGGAGAATTGAAGTATTCTGACCAGTGTTTTAATTTAATCTCATTGTAGCGCAAAAGTCTCATAGGAAGGAAAGAGAGGATGCTCTGTCGTTATTGTTTGCTAAGAATGCACGGATAACTAAATGCTCAACACAGCACTTCTGTAAAATCTTTTTGACTTCTTTCTGCGCATAAATTATTTATTTATTTCAACAGTTCTACAAAAGAAGAACAATCAGATAAGAGCATTTGCTATCAGTTGCACATGATTTACATAACCTAATAGAGAAGAAGTAGAGTGTAAAGAGAATCAGAAGAGCAATAATAATAGGAATAGTAGTAGAAGAGTAAAAGTAATGTGAGTTCTTTATTTGGTTATTGAGTCAAGAGTATCCTGCAGATAGAAGACATCTATTTTTTCATTTGGCGATGAAAGCGTTAGAATGTTCTCCTCTGGATTGCTAGATGATGGGAAGTCTAAGAATGTCCCAGCAGGCGTCTTTATGGCAAACAGTGATACCGCTGATGAGTTATCTAGCTCTTTTAAGTCTGTATATGTTACATATGCTAGATTGATGTTTTCCTCCTGGTTTGCCAGGAGCTGAAGCTCGGCATTTATCCTGTTTAGTTTCTCATCTATTTCTTTCTCTGCTTGCAGGAGCTCTTTTACTTCTTCTGTTTCTTTTCCTGTGTTCAGCGATGCTCCTCCGCACTGCGCGCATCGGTCTTTCCCCTTATCTCGTGTGTACTGTATGCTGTTCTTCAGCTTCTTCTTTATGTATCCCACCCCTTCCAGCACGTTTGTTATGTCGTACAGTCTTCTTTTGTGTATCTCCAACACCGAGGCAGCATAGTTTAAGTCCAGTTCGAGCATAGGTGACTCCTTCAGAAGATTTAGGAACTTCTTGGCCAGCACGGCAAGCGAGCTGCCTGTTCTGCTTGTTGTAGCGGATCTCTGCTCCGAGGTGTCTAAGTCGGAGAAGAAAGAGAATAGGCTACTTTCCTGAGGATTTTGCATGGGAATAAAATAGACGAAAATTCTATTTGTATTTTTTATGGAGTATATTCTGTGTGGCATTCCTGCGGACACTGCGGGAATGGTGAGATACATAGGAATGACAGAGGACGAGTGTTCGGTGGAGAGCGTGTGCGAAGTGTCTTACTCGCTTGGCAGATATACTCTGCTCGTAAGCAACTGCACTAACGAGAACTCCGGTGATAAACAGAGCAGAAACATTCTATCGATAATGTATCCTCCTGATAAGAGCAAAAACAGAAGATCACTTGGCAGAAAAAAGAGTGTAAGCGAGTTTATTGGTGAAGGAGTGTGCAGTGTGCTGGAGGAAATTGGATGCAAAAACAAAAGGGTGCGAGAGTACAAGAAGAGTACATATAAATACAAAGGAGTGGACATCATCGTAATAAAAAAAGATGAAAAAGACTTAGTCATTGCCAGAAGTGACAGAATCGATGGAGAAGCCGCATTAGAAGATGTAAGAAACAAGCTAAGTCTGTGGGTTAACTTGATAGTACCACCAGAGTCCGTTCACGAGTGCATGCTGTGATGTGTCTGCAATTTGTATATTTATTTGGTGTGGGTGCTTGTGTTTTTGAGAGCATAATTATGATTAAAGATGGATTTTGTTCTTTGTATAAAACACTTTTCTAGAACTTCTGGAATATTAATAAAAATAGAAAAAGACTGATTTAATATTTAGAGTGCATTAGTATATGTTAGAGGATACTGTGCAGATCTTTTGCACTCTTGATTCTTAGATTGTATTGTGTTAGTACTCTACACAGTTTGAGTGGTATGGCTGTGTGGTGAACAAATGAGATAGGTCTTTATCTTTGTAATAGTCGTCTGTAAGAGAAAGGGCTATTTCATGCGATTCTTCTGGTGCAGTCTCTTGTGATAGCACATGTCTTACTGTTTTCTTTGAAATTGTGTGCACGGGCATATTTGGTATATCGAGAATGCTATTTATACATTGCGGTTCTTTTTTTGCTATTTCCTGCTTGAGCTGTTCTTTTGTTCTTTCTGGCAGGTGTGTGTAGATGTCTCTTATATAGTTGTCGCATGACTTATCTCTAAAGTGCAGACTGTTGCTATTTTGTACACTTTTTATCCTTTCGTAGAAAGAGCTCTTATCTGTTTTTCCATCCATCCTGATTTTTTGATAGTAAGAGAGGAGAAAGTGCGATGCTTCTTGCGAGATAAAAGTGTCCATGTCTCCTATTGCACCGGCACATCTACCAAACATCTTTGATAGCCGAGCACTCTCTGTTCTGGAATAGTGTGGATTGTCCAGTAGAGTGCTGCTGAGTCTGATTGAGTTTATAGAGAGCTGTGCGTCTATAAATTCATCAGCTATTGTTTTTACTATGGGGATAGCGCTCAGTTTTGATGCCATCTTTAGAACGGGAGCAGATATGAATATTTCTGCTTTAAAGAGAGCACTGACTAGTCCAGCCCATTCTTCTGTCTCTTCTTCCACTTCTTTTTTTATTTTTGGATGAAGTATGTGGATGGCATACACTTTCAGCACATCTCCTATTTCCATCAGCGGCCTTATTCTGCTAGGCATTATTTCTATATCCAGCGAATGGAGCACTTTTATCGTGCATTCTATCACTGTGCTGCTTCTTTCTTTGACCAGCAGGCTGAACAGTTTTGTTTTTATTTCATCTGCATCTATTTCTGACGCTCTTATCTCCTCTAAAAGCCTTCTGAAATACTCTTCATACTCCACGGGCTCGCCGTTGAAGTCTTTTATGTTCTGCAGCTCATAGAAAGTCATCTTTATTTTTTCTGTTTTTTTAGTTTTTCAAACTTCGTCTATTTATCGTAAAATCTTTACAATCCAAGCTTCTTCCTTTATTTCTACTGCAGTCTCTTGCATCGACTGTCTCATTTCCATCTTTACTGCCTAAGACAAGCTAAACAGCATAGATAACTATGAAGCTAAGTAGAGAATATTCTAAACACTAGCTCATATCATAAAGAGAACATTCCTTGTACACTTCTGTGCTTTTTCTTCCATCTTGCATCGTAATAAAACTACATGAATACTTCTACTCTTTTGTGTTTTATTTTCTTTATAACTTGTTGTGTCAACTAAAATAAAATAAAAACTAGTCCATTGGAGTTAAGTTACCCTTCAGAAAAACTTTAAAAATAAAATTAATTAGAAAATATAGACCATTTTAGCTATTTGTAAGTTAGCTTTATACTAGCTGCATTGAACCATGGATGTTTATTTACTAACTGCAAAAGATGGCTGGCCATTCCTCCTACTATTGCAATTCTATTCCAGTGTGTGAATGCATGCACAATTCAACCGAATTAACTCTTATGCTTATGCACACTCTCTCTTAATGCATACTCATTCATTATCTTCAAGTCAGAAAAAACTGAGTCTTTCAAGTATTCATTTGTTCTCTCAATGATCTCAACATCTTCAATAGTAAAATCGTCATCCAATAAGACTCTCTCTTCATTTTTCCTATTAGTTTCACTGATCCATATGTCGTGCGCATATATCTGGAACATGCGTATATTGCTGATTATTTCATCTGTAGCAATTTCTCCTTTTCTTGCCATGTCTTCGTAGTAATCTATCTTCTTGTCTATTTCTGAGTATAGCTTTTTGGAGAAGAGAGGTAAAGCCTTTTCAGTCAGTATATCCAGCCTATAGAATTCTCTGTCATTTAGTATCTTTTCTATATTATGCGGAAAATTGTTTTTAATGCTTTTTTTCAGAAGGTTGCTTGCTTTCTTTATTTTGTAGCACTCTGCAAAAGACCATGCATCATCAAAGTACAACACTAGCCTTTTCATTATTCTGCTGTATGTTATAAGTTGATCAAGCATGTTCTCTATCATTAATTTGGCAAACTCTGTCTTTGCTACAATGCTGGCTGAAATTTGCCCATTTGACTCATGTCTATTCTCATCTATCAAAATAAATCTCGGTGATCTAAAAGTAATTTATTCACTAACCGCAGCATTTCTATTTTACAATATTAGTCCATCTGCAGCATCTAGTATTTAATCTATTGGCGCTGGCTGAGACTCTTCTGCTGCTTCTCTGTGCCTTCTATCTATTCAAAGTTCTTCTTTACAATGTGGTTCAGCATTCTCTCTGTTTCTTCTTCTATCTTTTTCAAGTACTTCACATCCACGAACAGAGTATTGTCGTCTATCTCCTGTATTATAAAATTGTGCTCTCTGTTCAGCCTGATTATTATTTGCTTGACAGAGGGATCGCACTCCAGCAGTGCTCCTTTTATTGCTTTCACCATTTTTTGTAAAATGAAAGAATTTATTTGGACAACGTGTCTTAACGATGGAAAAGGAGCCTCACTTACTCTGAAAAAAGAAGAAAAAGACTTCATAGTCAGAGAGGGAGACAGCAGGGGCCTGCTAAATATTTCTGACAGCTCGATAGACCGCATCCTGCTACTGGACGATCTTCCACTGGTATCTGAAAAGCTTCTGAAGAGTGGCTTAGAGAATATAAAAGAAAGAGTCACTTTGGTTCTGGGGCGTATCTCTGCGATTGAGAGCAAGGAAGACAGGAAGACAATACACAAAGTGTACTCAATGCACCCCTTCATATACACAAAATCAGTGAAAAATGACGATGACTCCAACGACATTCTAATTCTCTTTGATACGCACCACAAAATGCACACCTTCTCCATTGCTCTGACAAAAAAAGGAAAAACCACACAGGATGCCGCTGAGATACTAGCAAGATATTTACACATCCAGAGCCATGCGATAAAGTATGCAGGGAATAAAGATAAGAAGGCAATAACCACACAGAGAATGAGTATATCAGGCACATCATATTTGGACATATACAAACTGTCAAAAACACTGCACACAGCTGCAAAGGATGCAAACAGTTCTGAACTGCTGGAAAATTCAAATAATGCAGAAAGAGAAAATGAAAATAGCTCTACACCAGAGAGAAATATATTCACAAGCACGCGCAGAGAAGTGACGAATGAAGATATAAAGAGCGAACAGATAAAAATAGTCAGAGCATGCGACGTAATGGATGAGATAAATGCAATATTCGCGAGAATGGAGAAGATGAAAAAGCCAGAACAAACAGATAGAGAGTATCTAGAGGCAGCCATGCGCATTGAAGAGGGAATATCCATAGGAAGCATAGAAAGAGTAGAGGGCGGCATAAAACTAGGAGACCTCGAAAGAAACAGGTTCTATCTGCAG